CAGCAGCAGCAGCAGCAGCAGCAGCAGCAGAAGCAGCAGCAGAAGCGGGAAGGGGCATTAGGCAAGGCGACTCCAGGCGGTTCCAGGCGATCCCCAGCGAAGGCTACTCGCTTGCCGCTGCATACAGCAGTCAAGCAACTGCAGCAGCAACAGCAGCAGCAGCAAAAGCTGGGACGCACCTGCTGCTCTCAGGTCCGCGCCCATTCTCTTCATTGAGGAAATGGAAGTCGAAAAGCGGAGACGCAAACCCCCCAAAACAGCAGCTAATGCCCCCGCTGAGGCCCCTGCAGCAGCAGCAACAGCAGCAGCAGCAGCAGCTTGTGCAACAGCTGCGGGGGGCTCACAGTGCAGCAGCAGCAACAGCTACCGCTGCAGCAACATTCTGCCCCCCAGCAGTGACGACTGCAGCTACAGTGGACAGCCACCGCAGCAGCAGCAGCAGCAGCGGCAGCTGCAATAACAAGGCCTGCAGCAGCGACACTAGCGCCCGTAGCAGCAGCAACAGCAGCAGCAACAGCAGCAGCAGCAGCAGATTACCTGCAAGGGGCGTGTATTGGTTCACTACATTTGCTTCGCAAAGGTAGCTCAACACTCCGAAGTGATATGGGGCTAAGAGGCCCGCAGGGGAGAAAGAGAAGCCGAGAGGGGCCTTCAGCAGCGGCGCTGCTGCTGCTGCTGCTGTGGCTGCAGCTCCTGCTGATGCGCCTACAGATGCAGCAAAGCAGCAAAGACACTGGGAAACACAATCTTTAGTGCTCCGGCTGCTGCTGCTGCTGCTGCTGTTTTTGTTGCTGCTGTGGGCGCTGCTGCTGCGCGGAAAAGGCCGCACCTGCCGCTGCAGCATGCAGCTGCTGCTGCTCGCTGCCTCCTGCTGCTGCTGTTGCTGCAGATGCAGCAGCAGCAGCAGCAGCACCGTTCTCCTGACCCGGGGTGAATATGCTTGAGAACGTCTTCTGTATGTCCATCCACCAATTTGCAGGGCCTTCCTTCTGCTGCTGCGCGGAAAAGGCCGCACCTGCCGCTGCAGCATGCAGCTGCTGCTGCTCGCTGCCTCCTGCTGCTGCTGTTGCTGCAGATGCAGCAGCAGCAGCAGCAGCACCGTTCTCCTGACCCGGGGTGAATATGCTTGAGAACGTCTTCTGTATGTCCATCCACCAATTTGCAGGGCCTTCCTTCTGCTGCTGCTGCTGCTGCTGCTGCTGTGGGACCGGCTTGGCAGCTAAGAAGTCGAAGTGGGCCTCATCGAGGCTGAGTTGCTGCGAGTCCATGCGCAGGGTGGCAGGAGGCGGGGAGGCCTCGCGCTGCTGCTGCTGCTGCTGTTGCTGCTGCTGTTGCGGGCTGCAGCGCTGTAGGCGCTCTGCGGAGACCACAACCCTGCGTCCGCTGCCGGGCTGTTCTTCCTGCTGCTGTTGCTGCTGCC